ATGATATTAATTTAATAATAATAATAATAATAATAATAATAATAATAATAATAATAATAAATACGATAGAATTGAAGAAGGAAATTGTACAAAAATACGAGGGTTGAAGCAGTGGTGGAGGAAGTGGTTGACGCATCGTCAGTGTGGCTTTGTTTATGCTGGAGTTTACCTGGAGAGAGTTCCGGGGGTCAACGCCCCCGCGGCCTGGTCTGTGACCAGGCCTCCTGGTGGATCAGAGCCTGATCAACCAGGCTGTTGCTGCTGGCTGCACGCAAACCAATGTACGAGCCACAGCGGGCTGATCAGGAACTGACTTTAGGTGCTTGTCCAGTGCCAGCTTGAAGACTGCCAGGGGTCTGTTGGTAATCCCCCTTATGTGTGCTGGGAGGCAGTTGAACAGTCTCGGGCCCCTGACACTTATTGTATGGTCTCTTAACGTGCTAGTGACACCCCTGCTTTTCATTGGGGGGATGGTGCATTGTCTGCCAAGTCTTTTGCTTTCGTAGTGAGTGATTTTCGTGTGCAAGTTCGGTACTAGTCCTCTAGGATTTTCCAGGTGTATATAATCATGTATCTCTCCCTCCTGTGTTCCAGGGAATACAGGTTTAGGAACCTCAAGCGCTCCCAGTAATTGAGGTGTTTTATCTCCGTTATGCGCGCCGTGAAAGTTCTCTGTACATTTTCTAGGTCGGCAATTTCACCTGCCTTGAAAGGTGCTGTTAGTGTGCAGCAATATTCCAGCCTAGATAGAACAAGTGACCTGAAGAGTGTCATCATGGGCTTGGCCTCCCTAGTTTTGAAGGTTCTCATTATCCATCCTGTCATTTTTCTAGCAGATGCGATTGATACAATGTTATGGTCCTTGAAGGTGAGATCCTCCGACATGATCACTCCCAGGTCTTTGACGTTGGTGTTTCGCTCTATTTTGTGGCCAGAATTTGTTTTGTACTCTGATGAAGATTTAATTTCCTCATGTTTACCATATCTGAGTAATTGAAATTTCTCATCGTTGAACTTCATATTGTTTTCTACAGCCCACTGAAAGATTTGGTTGATGTCCGCCTGGAGCCTTTCAGTGTTTGCAATGGAAGACACTGTCATGCAGATTCGGGTGTCATCTGCAAAGGAAGACACGGTGCTGTGGCTGACATCCTTGTCTATGTCGGATATGAGGATGAGGAACAAGATGGGAGCGAGTACTGTGCCTTGTGGAACAGAGCTTTTCACCGTAGCTGCCTCGGACTTTACTCTGTTGACGACTACTCTCTGTGTTCTGTTAGTGAGGAAATTATAGATCCATCAACCGACTTTTCCTGTTATTCCTTTAGCACGCATTTTGTGCGCTATTACGCCATGGTCACACTTGTCGAAGGCTTTTGCAAAGTCTGTATATATTACATCTGCATTCTTTTTGTCTTCTAGTGCATTTATGACCTTGTCGTAGTAATCCAATAGTTGAGACAGACAGGAGCGACCTGTTCTAAACCCATGTTGCCCTGGGTTGTGTAACTGATGGGTTTCTAGATGGGTGGTGATCTTGCTTCTTAGGACCCTTTCAAAGATTTTTATGATATGGGATGTTAGTGCTATTGGTCTGTAGTTCTTTGCTGTTGCTTTACTGCCCCCTTTGTGGAGTGAGTATTAGTCTCCGTGCTCTTCCAAACATTTCACAATAATTCATTGTAGTATTTGGTGCTTGTAGATTGAGTGTGACTGGAGTGGTTGAGGCAGTGGTAGAGGCAGTGGTAGAGGCAGTGGTAGAGGCAGTGGTAGAGGCAGTGATAGAGGCAGTGGTAGAGGCAGTGATAGAGGCAGTGGTAGAGGCAGTGGGTGAGGCAGTGGGTGAGGCAGTGGTAGAGGCAGTGGTAGAGGCAGTGGTAGAGGCAGTGGGTGAGGCAGTGGTAGAGGCAGTGGTAGAGGCAGTGGTAGAGGCAGTGATAGAGGCAGTGGTAGAGGCAGTGGTAGAGGCAGTGGTAGAGGCATTGATAGAGGCAGTGATAGAGGCAGTGGTAGAGGCAGTGTAGAAGGCAGTGGTAGAGGCAGTGGTAGAGGCAGTGGTAGAGGCAGTGGTAGAGGCAGTGATAGAGGCAGTGGTAGAGGCAGTGGTAGAGGCAGTGGTAGAGGCAGTGGGTGAGGCAGCAGTTGAGGCAGTGGTAGAGGCAGTGATAGAGGCAGTGGGTAGAGGCAGTGATAGAGGCAGTGGTAAAGGCAGTGGGTGAGGCAGTGGTAGAGGCAGTGATAGAGGCAGTGATAGAGGCAGTGATAGAGGCAGTGGTAGAGGCAGTGATAGAGGCAGTGGTAGAGGCAGTGGTAGAGGCAGTGGTAGAGGCAGTGATAGAGGCAGTGGGTGAGGCAGCAGTTGAGGCAGTGGTAGAGGCAGTGGTAGAGGCAGTGGGTGAGGCAGTGGTAGAGGCAGTGGTAGAGGCAGTGGGTGAGGCAGTGGTAGAGGCAGTGATAGAGGCAGTGATAGAGGCAGTGGGTGAGGCAGCAGTTGAGGCAGTGGTAGAGGCAGTGGTAAAGGCAGTGGTTGAGGCAGTGGTTGAGGCAATGGTAGAGGCAGTGGGTGAGGCAGTGATAGAGGCAGTGGGTGAGGCAGCAGTTGAGGCAGTGGTAGAGGCAGTGGATGAGGCAGCAGTTGAGGCAGTGGTAGAGGCAGTGGTAGAGGCAGTGATAGAGGCAGTGGTAGAGGCAGTGATAGAGGCAGTGATATTTACTAACATTATTATTTTATTATTATCACACTGGCCGATTCCCACCAAGGCAGGGTGGCCCGAAAAAGAAAAACTTTCACCATCATTCACTCCATCAATGTCTTGCCAGAAGGGTGCTTTACACTACAGTTTTTAAACTGCAACATTAACACCCCTCCTTCAGAGTGCAGGCACTGTACTAACATATATGTTATTAATAGTACATTATGAATAACATTTATTATTATTATTATTATTATTATTATTATTATTATTATTATTATTATTATTATTATTATTATTATTATTTAAATGTTATTAATATTAACATGTACTATTATTATTTATAACATATATGTTAGTAAATACCACTGCCTCACCCACTGCCTCTACCACTGCCTCACCCACTGCCTCACCCACTGCCTCACCCACTGCCTCACCCACTGCCTCACCCACTGCCTCTACCACTGCCTCACCCACTGCCTTTACACTGCCTCTACCACTGCCTCAACATGCTGCCGTCACCCACTGCCTCACCACTGCCTCACACCACTGCCTCACCCACTGCCTCACCCACTGCCTCTACCACTGCCTCTACCACTGCCTCATCCACTGCCTCTATCACTGCCTCTATTACTGCCTCTACCACTGCCTCTATTACTGCCTCTACCACTGCCTCATCCACTGCCTCACCCACTACCTTTACCACTGCCTCTACCACTGCCTCAACTGCTGCCTCTACCACTGCCTCAACCACTGCCTCAACCACTCCAGTCACACTCAATCTACAAGCACCAAATACAGTGAATTATTGTGAAATGTTTGGAAGAGCACGGAGACTAATACTCACTCCAGCATAAACAAAGCCACACTGACGATGCGTCAACCACTTCCTCCACCACTTCTTCAGCCCTCGTATTTTTGTACAATTTCCTTCTTCAATTCTATCGTATTTATTATTATTATTATTATTATTATTATTATTATTAGTATATTAATATTATTATTATTATTATTAGCAGTAGCAGAAATGTTTGATTCTTTGCTGTGTTCAAGAGTAAACACATGATGTCACCTTCCAATACCTGTCTGAATAGCCATTCCAATATGCAGTCATAAATGGGTTTACATTATTTATACTGTAGTTTAATAGCAAACAATGAACAAACAAAACACTCACCACACAGTGGTGGGAGGGCTGGCTGCCAGTTGTGGGGGGTCGGAGGGAGGGTAGTAGGGACTCGCAGTGGTGGAGGCAGTGGTATTTAATAACATGTTATTAAGGCATAACGTATGTATTTAGTACAATTTACGATGTTTTCATGTATTTTATGATTGTTCATGGTTAAGGAAGCAGTATTGTATTATATTTCCCTACAATATATTGGGGCACCAAGCATTCACGGTTTTTCAACATTCGCGAGGCTCTTGATCCCCTAACCCTCGTGAATGTTGAGGGAGACCTGTATATGTTCACTACCCCAGTGCCCTGAATATTTTGAAAAATGTTATAGGATAAAAAAAAAATTAGGGTCAGTACTTACAGAGATATGAGGCCGAGAAGTTGGCACTGGATGCTCACGTGACAGCAACATCGTGCTGCTTGCAGGAGTGTTGCCGATATACCCTTTTCTATATTTTTCATATTATTTTATATAATTTTTATGTTCTGATAATTACAATATTTAGTAGTTCTTGTCATTTCATAACCAATCTTTGTTCTGACACTAGTATTAGGTACTGAAATTGTACTCAAATTGTCACAAGCACACTGATAGGTGGACATTTACACCTGCCTTGGCGATTTACTATTGTCTTGGAATATATACAAAGTATTTATAGGTCCCAGCAGTGTTTTGTATATGTGGAGGTATATAATAATAATAATAATAATAATAATAATAATAATAATAATACCTAATAATAAGTTCCCTTGAAGCATGAAAAACAGTCATAGGTCAATGTTTTTTTTTTCTCGTTACGCACTATGTGCTGCAGGATTTTTTTTATACTGCACGCACTGACCACATAGACCCATTCTTTCATATGTAGGTCTACCAGCTTTCTCTCACTAGATTTGAGGGCACTAGAATTTAGGCGTACTAGTACATCAAAAACCCTGGGTCGTAAGCTGTACTAGTACATCCGAAACCCCCAAAGGGTTAAATACTACCTTTGACTGCAGGGTTGATCAGGCAGTCAAGGTATTCTGATTTCAAACTGGGCTGTGAGGGTAGAACTTTAAAAACCATTCATGTAGATAACCCACAGATAAATGTATTAGTGTAACAGTATGTATGTATGATTGCACATAAATGCAATCATACATACAGATTCTAATTGTGCTGTGTATAATACTTGACTCTACTATTAAATCACTATGCACTCATTGACAACTATTTCTATTTTCAGTGACCAGAGAATGACTCAGGATGTGGACAGACTCTGCCTAACTCTGTCTACTATCACAACTAAGGTCATAATATCACCCTTTCAAATTGGTTATTATACATACAAAGTATTTGTAGGGTGAGTAAGTTTTCATCATTTAAAGTACAGTGTTTGTTTACATAAGTCACTAAATCTCCATGGGGAAGTGAAACAAAATACTTCCTGCGTATGCCATGCATGTTGTAAGATTCGACTAAAATGCCGGGAGCAAGTGCTAATAACCCCTTCTTCTGTATAAATTACTAAATTTAAAAAGAGAAACTTTTGTTTTTCCTTTTGGGCCACCCTGCCTCAGTGGGATACGGCCGGTTTGTTGAAAGAAGAAATCACTAAATCTCTTAAATTTTTATTTCTGATTACCTATTTGAAGGTATATTAGAACTATGCTTGTTGTATCTTGTTTACAGTTCTGTTACATATATTTTTAATTTTCTTGTTTTTGTGGGAGTTACTACCTCCTTTTTGTTTTTAATTCTATCGTCCTACCAATTTGTGAAAAACTTTTTATTATTCTTTTGACTGTTTTTCTGTTTACAATTGTAGCCTCATATACTTTGTTCATAATGTTAAGGCAGCCTTCTCTATTTTTTGTATTCATTTTGATGATAATATTAAGACAGTCTTTTGTATTGTTATGTATTTTTTATGCCATTGTAGGTGATGTCATTCCTCTTTTCCTCATGTAAGCCAATGAGGGTATTTTTTGTTGTTGTTAGCCTTTCCTCATAAATCGTATTTTATAGCTTGCCAATAGTTTTGTACGTCATCTTTATAGCTTTTCTGTATTGTGTTATTAGATTAATTCAGCATTGTATGGCAAAGGGGGTTATTGATGTAAACAACTACAGGCCAATATCTAATTTACCATTGCTATCCAAAATCTTCGAGAAACTCGTGCACAGGAGACTATATTCATTTATAACATCACAAAACATACTCAACCCCTGCCAATTTGGCCTCAGAAAAAATAAAAGCACTAATGATGCAATTGTAAAAATGCTAGATCTGCTTTATACAGCATTGGAAAATAAGGAATATCCGCTAGGACTTTTCATTGACCTGAGAAAAGCTATTGACACAGTAGACCACGGCATCCTACTCCAGAAACTTGACCATTATGGTATGAGAGGCCATGCACTTGCATATTTCAAATCCTACCTTACTAATAGGTGTCAGTATGTCACCATAAAAGACACGGTTTCATCAACACGGCCACTTGATACTGGAGTGCCACAGGGAAGTGTCCTTGGTTCCCTGCTCTTCCTCATATACATCAATGATCTTCCCAACATATCCCAACACCTGAAACCCATTCTCTTTGCTGATGACACGACTTATGTCATCTCCCACCCAAATCTTGCCACCCTCAACACAATTATTAATGAGGAGCTGCTCAAAATATCTACTTGGATGACAGCCAATAAACTTACACTTAACACTGACAAAACCTACTATACAGTGGACCCCCGGTTTACGATATTATTTCATTCCAGAAATATGTTCAGGTGCCATTACTGAATGAATTTGTTCCCATAAGGAATATTGTGAATTAGATTAGTCCATTTCAGACCCCCAAACATACACGTACAAACTCACTTACATAAATACACTTACATAATTGGTCGCACTGGGAGCTGATCGTAAAGTGGGAGTCCACTGTATTATGTTTGGTAGCAGAGCAGGTGTTGCACAGCTTAACTTTAAGATCGACAACACTCTAATTGCCAGACATAATGAGGGCAGATTCTTAGGCCTATACCTCGACATAATAGAAAAAGTATCCAAAATGGGTGGGATCCTCTACAAGATGTGATACTACCTGTTGCTACCTGTTCATTTAATTTTGTTTACCGCTACTTTTTTTAGTCCCTTTTATATTGTGTGTGCAGTTAGTGTATATTCCAATTACATTATTGTGTGAGTCCCAAAACTATCTTTTGTTAGCTAGTACCAACTACCTCATATTTTTTTTTTACTTTTTATAGTGCAATCAATTGCTCAACTTTTTTTTTTTTTTTTTTTTTTTTCCGACAAGTCGGTCGTCTCCCACCGAGGCAGGGTGACCCAAAAAAGAAAGAAAATCCCCAAAAAGAAAATACTTCATCATCATTCAACACTTTCACCTCACTCACACATTATCACTGTTTTTGCAGAGGTGCTCAGAATACAACAGTTTAGAAGCATACACATATAAAGATACACAACATATCCCTCCAAACTGCCAATATCCCAAACCCCTCCTTTAAAGTGCAGGCATTTTACTTCACATTTCCAGGACTCAAGTCATTATATTCCCAAGCTCATTTATTTGATTACCACTTTATTTGTTCACCACAACTTATATTAGTCCCTTTTATATTGTCTCCTTTATTTTAGCTTTAAAAAAACTACCTTAGCTCATATTTTTACAGTTAAAATAATTCAGGTGCTATTTTTTAGCTTTAGAATATTTACTTTGTCTTATTCTTAACTCTAACTATAGATTCACTATAAATCTTATGATTACAAGCATTGATCCTGATACCAACCTCATATTGAATGACTTAAATGAATCAAACAGTAACTGTAATTACTACACAGCAGAACAATCAAAGGCACTTCTCAGAGCCTACAACAACATAACTGTCTTTAACTACAATATCAGATCTTTAAGCAAACATTACGATGAACTCATACCATTACTAAATTCCCTGCATGCCAGTATGTCCATCATTACTCTCACCAAAACCTGGCTAAAACCTGATACTACAGATGCCATGCCATTCCTGGTTACACAGCCATACACAACTGTAGGCCAGATCAACAAGGGACTACTCAGACCAACTAGAATGTATCACTAATACTTGCACGAGGGATGAACATGGGGGAATATATAATAGCTAAATTCAAATCCAAAAACCTACGAAAACCTCTCAGTGATAAACATCTACAGAGTACCACATTCAAACATTAGCCATTTTAGTGAAAACCTAGGAAGTATGATAACTGATGCACACATGAATGAAGATCACTTACTACTCTCAGGTGACTTCAGTATAAATCTCCTGCAAGACCAGGGCCCACACGTTACTGAATTCACAAACACTATGAGTAACTGCTTGTTGCTACAACAGTAACAAAACCTACAAGAATTACAGAGACTAGTGTTTCCCTAGTAGACCACATCTGAACCAACACCATATCCCCTTTAGAATCAGGCATAATCACAGATAATACTACAGACCACTACCCTACCTTCCTCATAACTTATCTAGGCAAATTACCCCAAGACACTACTAAAGTCACTTTCAGACTTCACAGTGAGGCAGCCATTAATAACTTCACAACAGCAGTGACAAATATTGACTGGCACACTGAGATAGAAATCTATACAGATATTGACAGATGTATTAATAATTTTCTAAAAAAAGGCCCAATACCTCTATAACAAGCACTGCCCTAAAAAACTAAACAGATGACAGCTAAGAGACTTAACAGTCCCTGGCTAACACCCAGCATCCTCAGATCCATAAATACAAAGCACCAATATGAAAAACAGTACAGAATGGGTCACATAACCAGAGACCAAGCAAAACGTTACTCGTCAATCCTAACCAGCCTGATAAGAAGGACTAAAAAATTGTATTATGAGAACAGATTATCCAAATTAAAAGGTGATATAAAAAAGAACCTGGAAAACCCTATCAGAAATTCTAGGAACAAAAAAGATATCACAAAATAGCACAATTGAACTAACAAAACCAGATGAACCCCAACTCCCACCAACTGAAACAGCAAATAGACTCAATGATTTCTTCTCCACCATTGGAAAAAAACCTTGCCAATAAAATCCCAAGCTCAAATACCCCACCCAATGACTACCTCACTGGCAACTACCCGAACACACTGTTCCTAGCTCCGACTAACCCAACAAAAGTCTCCCTTATTATCAACACACTAAAAAACAAGCACCCTTCTGGTAAGACAGTGATGGAGTGAATGATGGTGAAAGCTTCTCTTTTTTGGGCCACCCTGCCTTGGTGGGAATTGGCCAGTGTGATAATAAAAAAAAAATAAAATAAAAAACAAGACAGGAAATTTAAATACCTTGCCACCCTTTATATACAAAAAAGCGTCGCAAGTGCTGTCACCAATCATTGCAACACTCTTTAACAAATCCATCGAATCCTCTACCTTCCCTACAGTTCTCAAAATAGGGAGGGTCACCCCGATCCATAAAGGAGGAGACCAAACAGACTTGAATAACTATAGGCCAATATCCAACTTACACCCTCTCTCTAAAATCTATGAAAAATTAATTCATAAGCGAATCTATTCCTACCTTATCTCCCACAACATACTCAACCCCTGTCAGTTTGGGTTCAGGCCTAGTAAAAATACGAATGATGCTATTATACACATGCTTGAACATATATACACTGCACTAGAGAAAAAAGGAATCCCACTGGGGATCTTCATTGATTTACGTAAAGCTTTTGATACAGTTGACCATGACTTGCTCCACATAAAATTGTCACACTGTGGTATAAGAGGGCACTCCCTCAACTACCTAAAGTCATACCTCAGCAACAGAAGCCAATATGTGTACACAAATGGAGCAACCTCTTCCGCACAGCCAATTACCATCAGTCATCACCAGATCTTCAATAAAGGTAAGTGTCATGTATTCTTTATTGAATACAGTAGTAATCGTGCATATCTTCTTTTTTTTGTGTAGGAAGATGTCTATTTCATGTGGTAAATTTTTTTTTTCATACTTTGGGGTGTCAAGAGCGGATTAAATTGATTTCCATTATTTCTTATGGGGAAAATTAATTTACTAAAAAAAGAGAAGAAGAAAAACTTTATAAAACTGGGATGCTTGAATGTGCGTGGATGTAGTGCAGATGACAAGAAACAGATGATTGCTGATGTTATGAATGAAAAGAAGTTGGATGTCCTGGCCCTAACCGAAACAAAGCTGAAGGGGGTAGGGGAGTTTCAGTGGGGGGAAATAAATGGGATTAAATATGGAGTATCTGAGAGAGTTAGAGCAAAGGAAGGGGTAGCAGTAATGTTGAATGATCAGTTATGGAAGG